TACACCTCGTCTTGCCTGGGTGACCCTCATAAAGAGTCCCCGGATGCCAAGGGTCCAGTGTGACAGCAGGGTGGGCCGCACAGGCAGCACTGGTGCGGAGAAGGATCCGGAAGAGAAGTCATATAGGCAGGACCTGACAGAGAGTTTCAGCCCAAATTATTCTGACCACGAGATTTGTGACGAGGGAAGGAGGATTTCATTTTTCCAACCAGCTCTCACATCCACCCAGCACGTCAGGGGCCAGCGTCACCGGACGGTACCATTCACTCATCCACATTCATCTGTGTGAGGAGCCGTTTTAAACAATACAGGTAACAGGGCGCCTGGGGGGCTCAGCTAGTTCAGCACCCAGCTTTGGCTCAGGTCATGACCTTGCAGTTCGTGGGTTCGGCCCTGAGTCGGGTTCTGCGCCAACAGCTTGGAGCCTGTTAGGATCCTGGGTCTCCCGCTCTCTGCCCTTCCCCTAGTCACGTGTGCACACACACGCGTGCTCTCTCTCAAAAATAAACATTAAAAAATAATTTAAAAAATACAGGCAAGCTAAAGAGACAGTCCTCAGTCACTCAGGGGGACCCACCCCAGTGAGGCCCATAGAGCCCAGCTGGAACGTCCGAAGCTGGAGGACTAGGGGCATCTCCCAGGCCAGCGGCCCAGAGCCGTTCCCAGTGGCCACGGTCCCACGCCGTTTCCTGGGAGAGGCCGCGCACGCGCCGGGCCAGGAGGCCGGAAAGAACATCGACAGGGGCAGGCAGCCCCACGTACATGTGCAGAGACAAGGGGGGGGGCATTGCTACAAGTGTGTGTGTCGTGTGACTGTGCGCATGTGTTGTATGTGTCTGTGCATGCGTGTGTGCGGTGGGCCTGTGCACGCACACCACCCAGGCCCAGTGCGCACGTGTGTGCGGGGCCCGTGCACGCACACCACCCAGGCCCAGGGCTCTGTACTCCTGTGGCCTCACCGGTCCTTAGTAGTCCTCCCCTCAGGCTCGTGCTGGCTGCACAGCACTTTACAGAGCGGTGGGGCTCTGCGCTCTCAGCACTGCGGTTTCTCTAGCTACTAGGCTGAAGGGGAAAGAAAGAGTTCCCAGCCCAGGGTGCCTGAGCGGCTCAGTCAGTTGGGTATCTGATTCTTCACTTCAGCTGGGGTCTTGATCTCATGGTTCCTGAGTTCGACCCCACATCAGGCTCCGTGCTGGCAGCATGGAGCCTGCTTGGGATTCTGTCTCCCTCTCTCTCTGCCACCACCTCCCTGTTCGCAATCTCTCTCACAAGAAATAAACATTTCTTAAAAACATTAAAAAAAAAAAAAGAATTCCAAGCCTCATAGAATTCAAGACACAGGACACCAAGCATCCAATGCAGGACAGACTATCAATCATTTCTGTCCATTTCAGGGATAAAAATGAGACGAGTTGGGAGGGCCCTGGGTCTGTGCAGAGGTGGCCACTCTGAGACCCTACCCTGGGGGCAGGTGCCAATGCTTTGGGGGCAACGGGGGCACCCAGCCTCTGAGCTGCAGGCAGAAGAGGAAGAAGCACAGAGGGGCTGGAGGGGCAGGTGGGGGGCTGGTGGGGCAGGTGGGGGGCTGGTGGACAGGTCACGTGAGGGACCCAAGCTGAGACGGAGGGGCCGGTGAAAAGTTTTAGTATCAAAACTGACAAGAAAAAAAAATCAGAAAAATAGGGCAGTGTGTAAATTAGCATCCACAAGATGGGGAAGGTGGGAGGCGATGAGCTCACACGCATCTCAGACACACTCCAACCTTGGCCTGGCCTGCCCAAGGGAGTCGTGCTGGTGGAGAGCCCGTGGCCTGAAGCCTTTCCGGAGCAGTGGGAGGCCACAAAGGCAGGTGCTCTTCATGGCGTAGGGAAGCAGTCACTCTCCCTGGGGGGCTTCCCAGGACAGCATCGGGTGGATCAGAGCCACTAAAAGCATTCCAGGGCCACTGGATCACTGACCAAGCTGCATTTAGGGAATCAGCTGTGCCTCAGGGAATGGCTCAGCACAAGCATTCAGTGATGCCTGACAGCTGCTTGCTGCAATTAAAAAAAAAAAAAAAAAAAAAAAAAGTATTCTTTTCCCCATCAAGAGGTTTTAATAATGGCCTCTGAAAAATAACTTCCCATATCTAGCAACTGACTCTTTGTTTAGACTCAGGTCATGATCTCATGCTGACAACGGAGAGCCTGCTTAGGATTCTCTCTCACCCTCCCCAGCCCGTGTGTGCTCTCTCTCTCTCTCTCTCTCAAAATAAATAAACTAAACTTAAAAAAAATAACTTCACATTTTAACACATTTTCCGCATTTAAAAATTTAAAAAGTACTTCAAGCAGTTATGAAGTCTGCAGGCTAAAGGTTAGGATCTGCTCCCCACTTAGCTGTTAGGGGGGAGAGGTATGCTCATACATTAATCATCCCCCCAAATGTAGTTTATTTTTGTTGATTCCTTTAAAGTTATTTTAAACATCTACTTAATGCTAGATTTACCAGAACTTTGTACTGAGGGCCCAAGTGAGGTAATGTTAAAAGATCCTGATTTTCCCAATTGCAATTTACAGCAAGAAATAAACACATATCCATCAGTGACTTCACCACTCGCTCAAGTCTCAGGGAAATGCTGGGTTAGCCATCTTTGAGGGCAGTTGGTCTAAAGGTACAGCTGATTCAAGAAAGCTCAACAAGACTGAAAAGAAAGTTCAGGGTAATCTACTTACCCTTATCTTTAAAGAGGCAACAAGTCATAACCCTTGTCCACCTTTATGAGGCATGTTTATGAGCAGAAACCAAAGACTGTATGGAATGGAAAGTGGCATTGGGCTTCCTGATGTCCTGGGCTAGTAAGTCTCCACAGAGTGGCCAAGAGTGAGCTTGAAGCCCCAGCCTGGATTTCCGGCCTGGCTGCGGGTGTGGAGGCCGCAGGAAGTGAGAGCTGACATCCTGGGAACTGCAGAGAGCTTGGGGACAACCAACGAGATGAGCCATCAAGGGGCATTCCGGAGGACCGGGAAGAAGTGCAGCTGGACTCACAGTTCTCACACCAGCTACCACCCTCTACCTCACTTTTCCAATCTTTAAAATCAGAGGGTCAGACCAGGCAGTCCTGTCCCCCTCTGTGGTGGCCATATCTTGAGTCGTATTGTTTTTTTATTAAAAAATTTAATGTTCATTTACTTTTTGAGAGAGAGAAAGAGCATGAGCGGGCGAGGGGCAGAGAGAGGGAGACAGAGGATCTGAAGAGGGCTCTGCACCGACAGCAGAGAGCCCGATGCCAGGCTCAAACCCATGAACCAGGAACCATGAGCTCACGACTTGAGCCGCAGGCAGAGGCTTACCTGCTTAGCCAACTGAGCCACTCAGGCACCCCACATATTGTCATCTCCAGGGATGGACAGGGGCACTGGAGGAAACTGCAGCTTCAGGAGGAAAGCTCTTCGTGAATATGCAGAGTCTAGACCCCCCCCGCGCCCTGGCTGGGCGAGCACTCTCAGGCCCACCCACAGAGACCTCGCACACAAACATCAAGGGCAGGAGGCTGAACCCAGTCCTGCCTCTTTCTGTGCGGCTTTGGGGAAGCCGGAGCCTCAGCTTCACTGGTAAAATGCGAATGATACTATTTGAGTGTCAACTCACTGTTTTCACCCGTCAAATATCTTGGTGCTTTGTATACGAAATACAGAAACTTACAAACGTCTCATGGCAGAGATATAGGCGCAGGGCACAGGGCACAGGGCTGAGACCTCGCGGAGAAATACAGTGAAGGACCCCGGGCGGGTCCAACAGACCCTCCCTGTCTCCAGGACTAGAGAGGCCCAGCTCTCGCCCCGCAGGACGCAGGTCTTTGTGTTTCCTCCCTACAGGGTAGGGGCTTTTTTTTTTTTTTAGCTTTTGGGTTAATATCACCCAACACTCTAGGGGCACCTGGGGGGCTCAGTCAGTTGAGCATCTGACTTCGGCTCAGGTCACGGTCTCCACAGTTCGTGGGTTCAAGCTGCACGTCGGGCCCTGTGCTGACAGCCTGGAGCTGCTTCAGATTCTGCGACCCCCTCTCTGTGCCCCTCCCCTGCTCAAGCTCTCTCTCAAAAATAAATGAACATTAAAATATTTTTTTTAATCACCATACGCTCTAGACCAGTAGCCCGGTTCTCCAGAGAAGAAAATATATTCTTTTTTTCCTAAGCAAAAGACTGATAATCACTTACACTCACTATTTTGAACAGCCTTCAAGTATCTTTCAAGGAGTTGGTTATTTGTTCTTTGTGGATGATAAAGAGCAGGAAAACCGAGCAGGCTGTTCCCAAAATTTTACACATTCTCCTTGCGGTTAAACCCGGGAAATTGGTGAATTCAGCAGATTCCAAGGAAGACACAGCCTCCTCCTTAGACCCTCATCTCCACGGAAAAAAAGCTCCAAGAAGACCTCTGTCCCTTTCCAGCCTAAGGCGTCTGCCGCTCCGCGTCAGGAGTCACCAGACGAAGGCTGAGGGCTGCGCACCCCGAAGCAGGAGGGGGTGCCCGGTGGGGAGAAGTGGGGGGCAGGCAGCGCTGGGGCTACTGAAGGCACCCAAGAGCCGCAAAGGCCAAAATCCTCCTCCCGCGAGGAAAACAGGCCGAGCCGCACGCAGGCCGCCCAGCGGCAGCAGCCGCCCTGACGCCGAGGGACGCGCGGCGGAGGCTCCAGGGAAGGGAGGCCGGGGAGCAGGGCACCTCCGCGTCCGGCAGAGGAAGGGAGGGGAAGGGGCTCCTGCGGGGAAAGGACGCGGGGGGGGGTGTAGGAGGGCGCCGGCTCCAGCAAAGGAGGGTGCAGAGAGGGGCGTGGGGAAAGGGGGTGCCGGGTCCAGCAAGGGAGGGGGAAGGGAGAGGGGGCACGCCCAGCGGAGAACGAGGAGGGAGGGGAGGGGAGGGGCGAGAGCGGAGGGTCGCGGCGCATCCTCCCCGCCCCCCCGGCGCGCCCCCCCCCCCCCGCGGCCCGGCCACACCCCCGCGCGCCCGCCGGCCCTCACCCGCGGCCCCGGGCTCCCGCCGAGCGCTGACCGAGCCGTCGCGGCGCAGGAGGATGTCGGCCGTGTCCCGGATGCGCCGCCCGCCGCCCGGCGCGCCCCGCAGCCCGCGGCAGCCCTGGAAGCACACGGCCCACGCCTGCTCCTCGTTGATGGGCTGCTCGTACGCCTTCAGCACCTCCTCCAGGGACAGCTCCCACGGCTCGGGCCGCCCCGCGCCCCCCGCCCGCCGCCCCGCGGCCGCGTCGCGGCTGGAGCTGCCGGCCCGGGCCATGGCCGCCCCATTATCGCCGTCGGCGCGCCCGGCCGGTTTCCATAACAGCCGCGCCGGGGCGGCCGACGCACCCGCCGAGCGCGGGGGGCGGGTCCCGCGCCGCGGGCCGCTGCTTTGTCATCCCCCGGCGGCCCCGCCCCGCGCAGCGGCCGCAGGTGAGGGCGGGGCCGGCGCGGGAAGGAAGCTGGGAAGGCTGCCGCCCGGCGGGGGTCCGCGAGGGCCAGGCGAGTGGGGGGGCGGGGGCCGGGGGGCGGGGCCGGGGGGGGCCGGCGGAGGGGCGGGGCCGGGGGGGGAGGGGGCGGGGGGCGCCCAGGCGGGGCCGGAGGGGGGCGCCCTCCCCGGGCTCTGACGCGGGTGCAGGGAGGCATCCGGTCCGAGACCCTGCAGTGACTGGGGGCCTGGGGCACTTTAGATGCTGGAACGCGGGAGGCAGGGAAGAGGCCAGTGAACCCCCGCCCGCACCCGGCACAAACACACTTCTGACTTTGGTTCGGAGGAGCAGATGCCTGCAGTGGCCTCTGCGGAAGAGGCCGGCTGGCAAGGTGAGCTCAAGAGGTCACTTACTGTCGAGTGATGTGAGCCAGGGAGACCCCGCGCTGTGAAGTACTTGATAAAGGACGCTTTGTAGCAGGACACCTAAGTCTGAATTAAATGCTCGAGGGTCTGAAAAATAAACAGGGGCGTAACTCTCATTTGCAAGCTGTGCCTTCACCCCAAGCCCGCTCACTCAGCGAGGGGTGGCACCCAGGCTCACGCGTAACTACTCGGGCAAATCCCCAGACCTCCTGAGCCGTAGTTGTATCAGGGCAGGAGAGCAGGGCCCAAATGCAATTGGAAGATAAAGGGCGGTAAGGCAACCCGTCCCAAGCCTGGGTCCCTGGGAAGAGGGATCGCCGCAGCAAGGTGACAATTTCACTTTGGGGAAACAGGATGGAGCTTGGTGTTGGGTGTAGGCTGTCACCTGGGGCCCTACTGTCAGATCATCCCATCTAGATTTTTTTTTATGTCTTTATTTTATTTTAAGAGACACAGAGAGTAAGCGGGGGAGGGGCAGAGAGAGGGAGACACAGAATCTGAAGCAGCTCCAGGCTCTGAGCTGTCAGCACAGAGTCTGATGCGGGGATCGAACCCATGGACTGTGAGATCAGGACCTGAGCTGAAGTCAGACACTTAACCGACTGAGCCACCGAGGCGCCCCCCCATCCGAATTTTTAATTGTCAAACAGCTAGGAATTTGATAAGGATGAATTGTGCAAAAAGTTTTTCCATTCAATAGCTGGGCAACTTTCAGTTCTCCAAGCTTACACAGCCAAAAATAACAGCATTGGTGCTTTGTAGAAGGAAAATCGGAGACATGGAGTGGAGGAGATACGCCATCTCCTGAATAAATTGCGCAAAGAAGCTAGGACTCAGGTTAATCTTCCTGTCTGGGGCTCTGCTCATTACCCCCCACCCCACCCACCGGGGTGGCAATAGAGTTGAGAGATTTCACTGCTGTCTTAGGACAGCAGCACCAAGAAACCTTCAGGGAAGAGTCTTATTCTATGTGCAAGCAGTAGCATCTGCACAGTGGTTCGGGGAAGTCCCTGACGCATGTCACACAGAGCCGGGTGTATGTGATCGGACCCAACACAGTGGGCCCACACAAGGTCTGTTTCCGCTTTCAGATTCCAGGGGAATAAAGACTTCCACTCGCAACCCCTCTGGTCACGTAGCTCTCACCACCAACTCTTCAGAAACCGGGATCTGTTGCTCCCACCACAGCCTGGCTGTCTCCTCCCCTCCTGGGGAGCGGAAGGTGATTGTCGCTTTAATTGGAAGCTGGTTAGGTTGTAGCAAGAAGTTCCTTCCCTGTTCTTCGAAGGGCCTCAAATTTCCCTAACTGACCTCATGGTTTTAGGATCTCATCTGATGAGCCTGGGCCTTGCTGAGGGGGGGCCTCAACACAGTGATGATGACTCATACCTAGCTGACCAGTGGCCCTTGAGTTCACCTGTGTAAGATGACAGTGCCCTTCCTGGTCTGACACTGACTCTTCTTTCAGGAATCTCTGAGCACCTTCCGAGACATTAGCCAGCAAGATTCAGAACATAGGGATTTTGCTGAAAATTATAAAAGTGGGTCCTAGGGGAGACTGGGTGGCTCAGTTGGTTAAGTGTCTGACTTCGGCTCAGGTTATGGTTCATGAGTTTGAGCCCCACATCAGGCTGTACGTTGACAGTGTGGAGCCTGCTTCTGATCCTGTCTCCCTCCCTCAAATAAGTAACATTAAAAAAAAAAAATTAGGTTCTATTTATCTTTTTTCCTTTTTTTGTTCTTAAGCTATTCATTTATTTATTTTTAAGATTTTTTATTTTTTTATTTTTTATTTCTTTTTAAACGTTTTATTTATTTCTAGGAGAGAGAGAGAGACAGCGTGAGCAGGGGAGGGTCAGAGAGAGAGGGAGACACAGACTCTGAAACAGGCTCCAGGCTCTGAGCTGGCAGTCAGCACAGAGCCCGACGTGGGGCTCGAACCCACGAACCGTGAGATCATGACCTGAGCGAAAGTCGGACGCTTAACCGACTAAGCCACCCGGGCGCCCCTATTTTTAAGATTTTTTAAAGATTTTTCTTTTCTAAGTAATCTCTTCAACTCACAACCCCAAGACGAAGAGTCACATGCTCTACTGACTGAGCCAGCCAGGAACCCCTTAAGTAATTTATTTTTACTTTTAAATTGTATTTATTTTTAAAAAGTCTTAAATTTTTTAATGTTTTATTCATGTTTGAGAGTGAGAGTGGGGAAAGGACAGAGAGCAAAGGAAACAGAAGATCCAAAGCAGGCTCTGCACTGACAGCAGCAAGCCAGACGTGGGGCTCAAACTCACAAACTGGAAGATCATGACCTGAGCTGATGTCGTATGCTCAACCACTCAGGTGCCCCCCCCGAATTTTTTTTTTAAATTTGTAATGTTTATTTATTTACTTTTGAGAGCGAGAGAGAGCACAAGTGGGGGAGGGACACAGAGAGAGGAAGACACAGAATCCGAAGCAGGCTCCAGGCTCTGAGCTGTCAGCACAGAGCCAGACACAGGGCTCAAATTCACAGACTGCAAGTTAAGACCTGATCTTAACTGACTCAGCCACCCAGGCGCCTCTGGGTGCCCCCTTTTTTTAAACTTTATTTATTTTGAGAGACACAGAGACAGTACAAGTGGGGGAGGGGCAGAGAGAGGGAGGGAGAGTGACTCCTAAGCTAACAGCATGGAGCCTGACATGGGGCTTGAACCCACAAAACTGTGAGATCATGACCTGAGCCGAAACCAAGTAAGACGCTTAACCGACTGAGCCAGCCAAGTGCCTGAGTAATTTATTTTTAAATTATAAGATTTACAATGCTTTGACTATGCAAAATAGCATAATGGAAAGTGTTCACTTTGGTTTCAAATCCATATGCCTAAAGAGTGATGTTTGAAGCTTTGTCCCTTAGCCATGAGCACAATGAGGAAGCGGAAGCATCAGTCAACTCTCTAGATGTTTGTAGAAACCATATCTTTTATTCTCCTAGGTCATTTAGGCCCCCAGCCTCCCAGAAAGTACCAGATGAGACATAGAAATGGGTCTATGGTGAGGAGGAAGCCTGACATTAGCCTAAGTGGTACAGTGAGAGGGAGTTCAGCTTTGTAGACGAGCCACAGAGCAGCTGTTCAGCCAGGGATGAGAAATGAGGCGCGAATCCACTAGAAGAGAAACCGGATGCTCTGGGCTCTAGCATCAAGGTGCAACTGGCTCTGACCTGGTCGGTGGGAACGCTGGATACAGTGACGAGTTCCACCTGTTAGTCAAAGTCAAAGCCAAGATTACCATGTCCTTCCTGTAGGGGAGTACCAAGCCCAGCCCATACTTTTTTTTTTTTTTAAGTGTATTTATTTATTTATTTTTGAGAACACGATCAGGGAGAAGCAGGGGGGAGCAGAGGGAGAATCTCAAACAGCCTCCACGCTGACATATAGAGCCAGGTTTGAGACTCCAACTCACAAACCATGAGATCGTGACCTGAGTAGAAATCAAGAGTTGGACACTTAACCAACGGAGCCACCCAGGCGCTCCTCCAGCCCGTGGTTTTGATTAAAAGGTCTAGTGAAGGGGAATCTGGGGGGCTCAGTCGGTTAAGCATCTGAGTTCAGTTCAGGTCACGAGCTCAGGGTTCACGGGTTCAAGCCCCACATCTGACAGCTCAAAGCCTGGAGCCTGCTTTGGACTCTGTGTCTCCCTGTCTCGGCTGCTGTGCTTGGGGACGGGATAGAAACATTGAGTGCATTGACCAACTACCAATGCTTGGAACTAGAGAATTATTTTATCACTTTACCACATAAGCAAAGATGCTCCCCAAATGTTCGCTTTGTGGGGTAGGCTGTACATGTTCACAGCACCGGGGAGCATCGGGCACTGATGTCTCCTGCCTGGGAAGGACCAGTGGAAAGCTCACCCACGGGCCTCCCTGCCTCTTTTGAGCAGATAACAGCACACAAGGAAACACAGTCTCTATAAATGGGTAAGAGCTGCAGGTCCTTGATGTGAGCCAGGAGCCCCACTGTTGATGCTGTTTTTTAACCATGGGCTGTATTTGATGCTTTGGGGGGACCATGTGTAGATCATGGCCATACCGTGGGAATGCAGTCAGAGGGGTAGGTGGCTCATAACTGAGGTTAGCCATAGATCAAAAAGCTCTAAGAATTATACTCTGAGGGTAATTCTAAGCCTGGGCGGCTCAGTTGGTTCAGTGTCTGATTCTTGATTTCGGCTCAGGTCCTGATCTCGTGGTTCTTGAGTTCGAGCCCTGTGTAGGGCTGTACACTGGCAGTGTGGAGCCTACTTGGGACTCTCAATCTCTCTCTCTCTCTATTTCTCTCCACCTGCCTGCCCTTTTCCCACTCACTCATGCTTGTGCCCCCTAAAATAAGTAAATAAACTTTTAAAAAAATTAAAAAGGGGCGCCTGGGTGGCTCAGTCGGTTAAGTGTCTGACTTTGGCTCAGATCATGATCTCATGGTTCCTGAGTTTGAGCCCCAGGCTCTCTGCTGTCAGAGAGCTGCTGTCCTCCGTCTCCCCCACCTCTCTGCCCCTATCCCACTTGTACTTTCTCAAAAATAAATGTTTAAAAAAACAAAAAAATACATCTGAGCATCTTTGCAGACACAGAAGCTAGAGAGAGTCCTAGTTTTAGGCTCCTGAGGTTCAAAAAAATAAGTTGGGGCTGGATTCCCAGGTGCGCTGTGGATTATAGTTACCTGATTCCAGGAGAGCAGCACAGGGCTCCAGGGGCCAGGAAGGCAGCATGAGAATGCGCTGAGTGTTCTGAGGCCAAGTTCAGAGCGAGTCAGGTGCATGGGCAACGCTACTCCCCTAGACACAGGTGAACCGCTTCACCTGTGGTCAGCGAAATGCACTTTCTCTCTGCCCGCACCTTACTCCACTTCCGATTAAAAAGCAGGTCGGCTTCTCCCAAGGGACCCATGCACACACTGAGGGCAGTGAGAACCCAGGCCCCCCGTTGCCACAATTCAGAGGCCCCTGAATGTCCTCTTTGTCATGCTCCTTGCAGGCAGGCAGAGCTCAGGGGTCTGGGAGGAAAAGCTGAAATTCAATAGGCAGTGATTTTGTATATTAGGTTTATTTCGGGATAATGAGAAAGGCCATGGATCCCCTGGGGTGCCAGACAGAGCCAGGCTGTGCTTGATCTCTGAAAGGGAGCACAGGACACCTCCAAGGGAATGGCTCTGGGCCTGGGCCTTCCTTCAATGCTAGTGGTTGTGAAGACATAGAGGTTAACAGAGCTGAGCCTGAACAGAGAAACAGAAGGGAGAGAGGAGCAGGACATCCAGACCACAGGATGGGACACAAAAGTTCCAGAGCTAAGCCAAGATGACGGAGGAACCCCTAGGAGGTTATAGACAGCAGACAGGGCTGTTCTGTGTGTCACAGGACAAGGGAGGGGATCAGGAGTAAATACTTGAAGACACCATTTGTTTCCCACTGAAGACATCCAAGGTCATTTACAATTATGGTATGAACAGATAGTGCAGCGTGGTTGAAAAGGAGTTCAGGACTCCTTTTGCAAATTATTACTCAAACACTAGTTGCTATATGAACCTCTCTGTTGTACCGTGTCTTCCTCACAGCCTGGAGTGAAGAACATGTTACATCACAGGTGACCATGATCTTGATAACAGGATGAGCCTCAAATGCCCGTGTGGGGCCTGAACTCTGTAAGAACATAGAAATAACTGCAAATTGGTGTTGGCTAACTTGACATAGTTTGATGTTGAAAGATTGAGAGATCTTCGGCCCCACGCTGGCCCCAGACAGCCACCGTAACTGATCGTTTATTGGTCCTTCCAGAAATGCCACATGCCTGTTACAAACATGCACATCCCCTTTTTTACACAGTGTGGCACATCGTACACCTGGTCCTGTGCTCCGCTGTTTCACTCATCAGTGTGTGTGTGTGGGGGGATGGTTTATAGCAGTGTGTGAAGAGCTTCTGCACCCCTTTGTGGGGACACCGTAATCGCCCCATCCAGTTCCCTACTGGTGGGCAGGTAGGATGTTTGCAGCCTTGAGTGACTAACCTTATACATAGCATAGGCTCATGATGGCTGGGATTTTCTTGCCTTAATGCTGCCGTTCCAAGTACCCCAGACACTGTGGGAGCACAGTTGACACTCATCCTTTTATATGTGTTCAGTATAATTTTTTTAAATTTTCATTTATTTTTGAGAGAGAGAAAGAGAAAGAGAGAGCGCGAGCGGGAGAGAGGCAGAGAGAGAAGGAAACACGGAATCTGAAGGAGGCTCCAAGCTCCGAGCTGTCAGCACAGAGCCCGACGTGGGGCTCCAACTCACATGAGATCATGACCTGAGCTGAAGTGGACACTTAACTGACTGAGCCACCCAGGTGCCTCTATATGTGTTCGGTATAAATTCTAGGAAATAGACTTGCTGAGTTGAAGGACATCCGCATTCAGTATTTTGATAAGTATTGTTAAAGCAGCTCTCAGGCAGGGCTGGTTTCCCACTGGTAGTGGTGGACGGGTCTGCTCCCCTAAGCTCACAGTGTACGATTAAACTTTTGAATCTCTGATGGGTGAGGAGTGGCGTAATTTCCATGTCTCTTATTAAAAGTAAAATTGAACAACAGATTCTTTTAAAAAATTATTCAATTCAACAAATATTTATGTATCCACTTCTAAGTGCTAGACAGTGTTCTAACTGATAAGGGGATAGCAGTCAATGAGGGGTTACCTGTCATTGGATTTAGGACCCACCTAGATAATCCAGGACAATTTCATTTCAAGATCCTTAATTAATTGCATCTGCAAAGACCCTGTTTCCAAATAAGGTCACGTTCACAGATTCCAGGGTAGGACATGGACAGATCTTTTTAGGGGCCACCATTTAACCCTATAGGGAGTAAAACTGCTGGCACCTTAGTGCAGATCATAGCTATGCCACCAAACTGTAGCAGTAATTATATTCCATACCACCACGTGCTCAAGGTAAAAAAAGAGAGAGAGAGAAGAAATAAATAAAAGCCAATTCTTCTCAAGAATTCCCTGAGTTGGGCAACCTGGGGGGCTCGGTCAGCTGAGCATCCAACTCTTGGTTTTGGCTCAGGTCACGATCTCATGCTTCATGGGATCCAGCCCCGTGTCTGAGCTGACAGTACGGAGCCTGCTTGGGATTCTCTCTCCCACTCTCTCTGCCCCTCCCCTGCTCCTGCTCACTCTCAGAATAAATAAATAAACTTAGAAAAAAGAGAATTTCCTGAGTAAAGCAATAAAAGATGATTCGATCAAGACTTAACCCTTGAATCCATCAAATAAACATGCTTATTTTCTTCAATTTTTAAATTTAAATTCTAGTTAGTTAACATATAGTGCAATATTGGTTTCAGCAGTAAAATTCTGTGGTTTATCACTTACATACGACACCCAGTCAGTGCCCTCAAAGCAAGTGTCCTCCTTAATGCCCATCACCCATCTAGCCCACCTCCCACCCACCTCCCTCCACCAACCCTCAGCCTGTTTTCTATCGGTTAGAGTTGCCTATGGTTTGTTTCCCTCTCTTTTTCCCCCTTCCCCTATGTTCATCTGTTTTGCTTCCTAAACTCCACACGTGAGTGAAATCGTATGGTATGTGTCTTCTGATTGATTTATTTCACTTAGCATAATACATTCTAGCTCCATCCACGTGTTCGCAAATAGCAAGATTTCATTCTTTTTGATGGTTGAGTAATGTTCCATTGTGTATACACCGCATCTTTATCCATTCATCAGTCGGTAGACATTTGGGCTCATTCCATAGTTTGCTTATTGTAGATAATGCTGCTGTAAATATTAGGGTACATGTGCCCCCTCAAATCTGTATTTTTTTAAATCCTTCGAGTAAATACCTAGTAGTGCCATTGCTGGATTGTGAGATAGTTCTATTTTTAACTTTTTTGAGGAACCTCCATACTGTTCTCCAGAGTGGCTGCACCAGTTTGCATTCCCACCAATCGTGCAAAAGGGTCCCCGTTTCTCCAGATCCTCACCAACACCTGTTGTTTCCTGTGTTGTTAATTTGAGCCATTCTGACAGGTGTGAGGTGGTATCTCCTTGTGGTTTTGATTTGTATCTCCCCGATGATGAGTGATATTGAGCATCTTTTCATGCATCTGTTAGCCATCAGAATGTCTTCTTTGGGAAAATGTCTATTCATGTCTTCTGCCCATTTCTTAACTGGATTACTTGTTTTTTGGGGGGTATAGGTTTTGGATACTAACCCTTTATCAGAAATGTCATTTGCAAATATTTTCTCCCATTCCCTAGGCTGCCTTATAGTTTTGTTGATTGTTTCCATTGCTGTGCAGAAGCTTTTTATCTTGATGAGGTCCAAACAGTTCATGTTTACTTTTATTTCCCTTGCCTCAGGAGATTACCTAGTAAGAAGTTGCTGTGGCCGAGGTCAAAGAGATTGCTGCCTGTGTTCTCCTTTAGGATTTTGATGGTTTCCTGTAATAAACATATTTTTAATATTCTGTATCCTAGAATCCCAGGATTTCATAAAGGAGCTGAAGACCCCCTGACTACGGAGCTCAGCAGTGAGATTGCTGGGTTTGGCTCATAGCACTTCTACTGCACACCTGAATTTTCACTTGGTAAGGACCCTATCAGGCCAAAAACTAAAAAGCAAAAAATAATGTATGCGTGGTCCTGATCCAGCAATTTTGCTATGTGAAATTTATCCAGAGGCAATAAAGATAAGTCTGTAGTCCTTGAAGGTGCAAGGGAAAGCCACGGGGAAGGACCTCTCTGCTCGGAACAGGGGCTGGCCAACCTCCTGATGCAATTAAAACGGATTTAAAGGAGACACCTGGGTGGCCCAGACTCTTGATGTGACTCAGGTCTTGACTGATGTGGGGAAACAAAGACAGAAGGAAATGGCAGATAAAATAAATTTCCTTATAACCTGCAGCCCATTGACACCTATTTGAGCCAGGCAGAGTATAACATTTCTCCAGGAACTCTACTATCTTGATGTTAATGCTTTGCTAGAGGAGAAAACAACCTTAACTTGACAATAGCTAGGCCTCCAGTGTCCTGTGAGTCTTCTTTAGTAGATGAAAATCCCTTTGGAAACTTCCCCTTGCCTTTACCTCCCCAAACTCTCAACTGTATGATCAGTCACTCCTCCGAATCCCAGGCAGATTTTTTTAATAAAGAGAGAGCGAGAGCGAGAGCGAGAGAGAGAGAGAGACAGATACAGAGACACAGAGGGTATGTGGGGGGAGGGCATAGAGAGAGGGAGACACAGACTCCAAATCAGGCTCCAGGCTCTGAGCTGTCAGCACAGAGCCCGAAGTGGGGCTTGAACCCACAAACTGTGAGATCATGACCTGAGCCGAAGTTGAATGCTTAACCGACTGAGTCCCCCAGGTGCCCCGCCTGGGCAGCTCTTTCTGCCCGCAGGTCCTGTTCTAGTGCTTTAATAAAATCACCTTTTTGTACCAAAGACAGCTCATGAATTCTTTCTTGGCCATCACCTCTGGTCCCCCACCACTCCACAACCCCATCAGTAATCTCACAGTTGGTAAGTTTGAGCCCCGCGTTGGGCTCTGCGCTGACAGTGTGGAGCCTGCCTGGGATTCTCTCTCTTTCAAAAGAAATAAACTTAAAAAATGTATTAAAAAAGTATTTGCAAAGGAGATAGCCTGAAAGATGTGCAGTGAAATATTAATGGGTGGTTGTCTGGGGTGTGGTCGTAGACAAGTCAGTGTTTCTCTGCACCTTTTGTTGTGCCCGAATCGTGAGTCCCCTGAGACGCCTAAGGAGCCATCACCGATGCAAGTACATAAGGGTCTTTATTACAAGCTCGAGCAGGGGCTCACCCGTCTACCAGCGCAGCGGCAGCAGGGTGAAGCCCCGAACAATGGCGAGCAGGGTTTTTATGGGGTCAGGGACGGGGGTGTTACAGTGCACACGCTGTACGTTTTGCATCATCACATAAGCACCAGTCATAATTGTACATCACCCATGGTTATAGTTTTGACTATTCAGTTTCTGTGAGGCGTCTGTTACTTTTGGTGGGTCCCAATCATGACCTTTGAGAATCCTTTGAAAATGACCAATTATAAGGTGAGCTCAAAGGGCCTACGTGGGGTTCGGGCAAGCAGTGAGTGATTGGCTACTTTGTACAGAGTAACTACCTTGCACTTCCCAGCCCTGACTCAGACCACAGGAATGTTACACGTTTCTTTTGATTGGCTGATCCGAGGGTGGTCCGAGGGTGGCTTCAGCTGAAGCGTTTCCTGGAACTGGGCTACGTGCAGCCCGAGGCTGCTCTTAATGGAGGACTTAATTTCAGGGTCTTCACTTTTTTTTTTAATGTTTTTTTTTTTTTCCCTAGGAGAGAGAGAGAGAGAGAGACAGAGAGAGACAGTGTGAGCAGGGGAGGGTCAGAGAGAGAGAGTCACAGACTCTGAAACAGGCTCCAGGCTCTGAGCTGGCAGTCAGCACAGAGCCTGACGCAGGGCTCGAACCCACGAACCGCGAGATCATGACCTGAGCCGAAGTCGGATGCTTAACCGACTGAGCTACCCAGGCGCCCCTTTTTAAATTTTTTTATTTTTATTTATTTATGTATTTGTTTGTTTGTTTATTGTCCTTTCCATGTTTGAAACGAAGATCTCACATCTTCCTATGCTGTGCCTGAGAAGCAGTGAGTGTGATGAGGTTTTGGAGTGAATGTAGAGTTCAGAGCTGTCGGCCGAGAAAGAATTCTTGAAGACATCTTTGGTGCCAAAAAGTGATTTTATTAAAGCGGGCAGACAGGACCAGCACAAGCAGCTGCGTTCTAAGTGTGAGGGGGGTGAATGTTTATACAGTATGGAGTTGGGGGAGATAAAGTCAAGCAAGAGGAAGTTCCCAAAGGAATTTTCATACGTTAAAGAAGACTCATGAGATATGGGAGGCCTAGCTGTTATCAAGCTAACGTTGTTTTCTTTCTAGTAAGGCATTAACATTCTGACAGGAGGGGCGTCCTTGGGGAAATGTTTTCCTTGTATTTGCCTTAAATATTTGTCAACGGGCTGCAGGTTATAAAGAAACATTTTTACCCGCCATTTCCTTCCAGCCTGTGTCCTCACATCGCTGTGGGGAGGGCGACAGTCAGGCTCCAGGAAGCTGAGTCTATAGGTTTCTGGATTAGGCTGTGGATACGACTGCCGCCCCCTTAATTTGCCAAGACACTTGTAAACCGAAGGAGACTCCTGTCCTGCATGATTGTGAGGACTATCAGTCAGTCATGTGGTTTTCTCTCTTTTTCGTTTGTTCTTGGTCAGCGCGGAGTGTCCCAGGAATGTCCCCCACCTGGTGGCCTCACGCTCCCTCATCAGCTGTGTGACTGGTAGCGGTTCTGCCCACATCATTCCTTAGAGCCTGATCCTGCTGGGAAGTGCACGCAGAAGCTCACATGCGCCATGGAGATGGGGAAACACCCCGATCCTCTAGGGGAAGGAGCATTTCGGGGGAAAGGAGGTCTCCTCGCTTGCATGTCCCCTCCGCGGGTCTCAGCCAGTCCTCAGCTCCAGACCGAGTACTAACAGTCACTCTGGACCATGGACGTCGCACTCTGGACTTTTACACACAGGGCCGGAGTGTGCAGACCATGACGGAGCTGTGGCAGCTATCAGGCCAGTTTTACAAATGGGGAAACTGAGCCTGAAGGTCTTCTTTGATCTGTTTTCACTCTCGGTGGTCTGGGTACTTACGGCAGAGGTTCTTATGAGTTCTGCTCCCTCCTCAGCTCTTACACCTGAAGCTTCCGGATAAGAGTGCATCGCAGCACCACCTTTGGCTACTCTTTCCTGCCTCCCAGCAACCCATAATGATAGAAACGCAGAATTTTGGTGTCGTCACAGGAAACTGGACGTGGGCGCTGGCACCACACACCGGCCTACCTGCACATACCAGCACTACCTGCCTAGATGCAGGCACCCAAGACCTGCCTCGGGCAAGTCACAGGCCATGATGTAAGGACAGGCAGCCTAGGCCTGGGATTCGCGCATGGCCATGGCCAGGGTTCTGAGCGCAGCCCCCTGGCTCTTAGGTACTGTGTCCCAGCTGGTGATTTGCATAAAGCTCCTTTAAAACTTCAGCTGCCTAGGGCACATTTTTTGGTGATTTCCAAGAACATGGATTTGTTGTGTCTACATTTTGGAATTTGACAAGCATTAGGAGAACATGAATAAGTCTGATTTTATTCTTTTTAAAATAATTTTAAAATGTTTTTTATTTATTTTTGAGAGAGAGAGAGAAAGAGAGACAGTGTGAGCAGGGGAGGGTCAGAGAGAGAGGGAGACACAGAATCCGAAGCAGGATCCAGGATCTGAGCTGTCAGCACAGAGCCCGATGTGGGGCTTCAACCCACGAATCGTGAGATCATGACCTGAGCGGAAGCTGGACGCTTAACCGACTGAGCCACCCAGGTGCCCCTGATTTTGTTCTAATTAAAATAATCAGGGGCACCTGAGTGACTTAGTTGGTTAAGCATCTGACTCTTGATTTCAGCTCAAGATCTCATGATCTCATCAGCACCAGTGACAGCACAGAGCCCATTGGGATTCTCCTCTCTCTCAAGTAAGTGAACCTAAAATAATTCAGGGCTCCATCCCTGTCAGCAGCTTGGGTAAATTAAGAGGGGCGCCTGGGTGGCTCAGTTGGTTAAGCATCCGACTTCGGCTCAGGTCCCGGTCTCACAGTTCGTGGGTTCGAGCCCCGTGTCGGGCTCTGTGCTGACAGCTCAGAGCCTGGAGCCTGTTTCAGATTCTGTGTCTCCCTCTCTCTCTGACCCTCCCCTGCTCATGCTGTTTCTCTCAGAAATAAATAACAAAAAAAAAAAAGAAAAACTTTTCTCAAACTGACTCATGGCCAAGTGGAAATGATATTTCCCCAACTTGATAAACTCCCCCTTCAACTCATCTAAAGGGGCTTAAAACAGACGCTCTTGGCGTGCCCCGGGGTCTCTGTCAGAGCCACGGCCAGGGTGGAGGGGGGCACAGCTGTGTGGCACAAGCTTCCTGACGGGGCACCAGCTCTTACCCCCAGGCTTATCTTAGGGTCTTCTGAGAATGAATCTTTGCGTTTTTAGGAACTGGTCTGTTCTCTGCACTTTCTAGCTGTTTTAATTCGCACCATCATACTCGGCCTGCAGAGTGCAAAGGGTCTGACAGAGCCCCTTGTGGGGACTCTGTGGGCTCTGATTTCCTATTCCTGACCCACGCACCCAAGGCCGTGCTTTGTGTGTCTCGGTTGTGCTAAATGAGCCCCGAGCAGTCAGTATGGCCCAGGGGCAGATGGACAGTTCAAAGCAGGCTTCACTTTGAGGCAAAGAAGGTACACTTGCCAGAGGCGGGGTGGCCAGTGTGGGGAGCAGCCACATCTAGTGCTCCTGAGGCTGCTGGGCGGGGGGTGGGGGGGGGGGAGTGCACCACCTAATGGCCTCTCCTCCGGGGCTTTGGGGAGCAGCCCCAGGGCACTGGCTTTTATGGATTCTTGTGCAGTGAGAGCCTTTGGGTCACACCCCATGTGGATCTGGGGGTGCCCTGGGCCTCAGGGTCTATGAGAAGGTCCTGTCCCCAGTGTTCCCTGGCGCCCTGGGCGATGTCAGGGAAACACTCGGCTTCACGTTCTTCCGTCTGTTCTGGGCCATGTCCATGTAGACATTGTCATGACAAGAGGGAGAGTCTCCTTATGCTCCGGGAAAAGGCGAGAAATCCAGGCATGGAGGAGGCAAGGCAGGTGCAGGAGGGAGGAGCCAGCTAGTTTGGCTTCTCAGGGTTCTCTCTTTCTCCCAGTGCTTTGCCTTCGGGAGGGCAGAGGGTGAGGAGAAGTTATGTGGAGCGCGAACCCAGGAGGCCCCCCCCCCCCCCGCACATAAGGCTTTCGCCACACTTGTCCAGGTCTCCAGTTTAAGGGCTTGGGTTTGGGGATCAGACAGACCTGAGTTCTTTTCCTGTCTGTGCCACGTTTCAGCTGTGTGTCCTTGGGCAAATCTCTTAACCTGTGAGCGCATTTCCTGTCTGCTCTTGGAATGATACTGACGGCCCCTGCTCCTGTGGTAGATCATGTGTAAAGGGCTTTATCAATTATCTGTTACTCTGTAAGAAACCATCACAAGACCTTAGGGGCTTCAAGCAACAACAGGTTCCTTAGCCCATAATTGCTCTAGTCCCAGGCGGCCTCACTGCCACTTCGTCACTGGCGTTCTGCTGGCTTCCTTCCCAGGCTCTGGTGTGGGACAGGCTGCCCGCCAGGGGCTGGGATGCTGTGGGCGGGCACCCACCTTTCTCGCCCGTAGCCTCATCCTCGGGCAGCGGGCTCAGGTGTGTTCCTTGGGGAACTCAGAGCTCCAAACGCTAAAGCACAAGCTCTTTTCAAGGTTCTGTATCATGTTACTCGTCCCTCATTGGCTCGCCCAAACCAAAGGGCTGGAAATACACTCCACCTCTCCATGGGGGAGGGGAGGGGGGAAGCGTTTGTGGCCATTTCTTGCCAAGCACAGCACGAGCCAAACATCGCCCAGTTTGTGTCACTCTCCGTGGAACTTTGTGGGCATTTATCTCAAGTTGAGCAGCTCCAGATCTGGGGCGGGCCTGCGAGCAGTGACGCAGGTCATAGCCTGCACCCAGAAGTTTGGAAGACAGTCCAGGAATTAACAGTGGGGTGCTCTTTGGGGGCCTCCTGCCTCGCAGCAGGCCTGCATGGCGGACTGAGTGACACTGTGAAAACCTGGATGTTGAGACTCAGCTGAGAGGTGACTCAGCTCTTCTAATCCTTTGGGACAGGACAGAAAATACATGTTAGTTTCTGCCCCCTGGTCCTGGGACAGAGCTCCTGAAACTCTTGTAAAATCCTGGGTGATAAGAACACTAGGAGCAGCTTTTGTTCTGATGGGGTGACCTAGGTGGCTTCCCGGGTGACTCAGCTGGTCACCAGAAAGACCAGTAATGATTACAAGGTGGTCATTTTCAGCTCTGTCCCCATCCTCCAGAGAGGGGGGAGGGGCTGGAAACGGAGCTAATGCTCAGTCACCCCTTCATGATGAAGCGTCTGTAAAATCCCAAAAGTACAGTGTTAAGAGTTTCCTGGCTGGGAAACACAACCCTTGAAGGGAGACGGACCCCAATTCCATGAGGACAGGTGGCCTGTGTTTGGGATTCCCCCGGACCTCACCCTGGTAGTGCTTCAGCTGGCTGCTCGTCTGTTTCCTTTCTCACAGCCTTTAATGACCTGGTAACGGTGTTTCCCAGACTCCGATGAGCCACTCTGGCAAATTAAGGAGGAGGTCGTGGGAGTCCCGGACTTGTTGACAGAAGTTGTGGCCCATCTGGGGACCTACCGCTTGGTAAATCATCTACAGTAGGGCGTAGACTGGTAAGACCAAACCTTTCACTCGTGGGATCTGGTACTGTCCCCATAAATAGCGTCAGAATTTAGTTGGATTGCAGTATACCCAGTTGGTGTCACAGTGTCGGGGTGGGGGGGATGCTCACACCTTTGGGGACCAGACATGTCAGAAGTAGAGGGGATCCTCGGGGGGAAGGGTTACATAGGAAGGAAGAGCTGGGTTTTAATACTCAGGGTAACTAAGTTGATTTTCTAGTTCACTCTTCTTCAGAAGTCAGGGCTCAGGATATCTTCAAAGCATTTTTCCCTTGTTTTTTCCGTGTATGCATAACCAAGATTATTTGGTAAAGTTTGTTTAAACAAATCTACAAGTGCTCTTTCAAGTCGACGTGTTAAGAGAACCCTGTGCTGTTATTCGGCTCTTCCACGCTTCACTCTCAAGAGGAACGAGCCAGCACCACCCTGTGCCCCGTGTCCCTGTTGTTCACCAGCGTGAAGGTCACACGACCCTCTGTCCACCACCGGTCCCCCAGCCCCGCGCTGTGTGCAAACCAGGCTCCAAGGCCTCAAAGCTGAGCTTAAGCTGCCATAGGTTTACCTGGGGAAAAAAATCTATTTTGTAATCTTTATGAGACGGTCACAAGAGGAGACAGAATAGGCTCAGGAAAAAAGAAATTGTATCGTATTCGCAGGTCCTAGACCCAGGAGAAGGCAGGCTGTTAAAGGCCACACGAGGAAGCACCAAGGTGGCCAGGAAACAGGAGAGGAGAGAGTAAGGCTGACCTTGATAAAGCTCAAGGTCTTTATCCGGGTTTTCACAGGGAAGCTAAGGCTGGGCACCTTTAGCTAGTTTGAACAGTTTGGTGGCCTTTGGGCTAGAGCGGCGGCACCTGGTCATCTGATTCCGCAGCACAGTACAGCCTCCGGGGACTGGGGCCAGCCGGGGCTCGGTGGCTCCGGGTCGGACAGTCCGCTGATCTCCGGCCGGCTCCTGGGGGCCCGGGGTGGGCGGCAGTCTCTCCCCAGCCAGAAAAGCCTTTGAAAATCTCAAAGCATCATAATTTATGGAAAATAAATAATATAATTAATTATATGTGTGCATATATTTTTACTTATCCAGGGAATACTATACAGCCGTGAAAACAAGTTAACTACAGCTCAGCACAATCCATGAATGTCACAGATACAGTACGAAGGAAAGGCAGGGGCGCAGCACGGTCCCGCCCCCACCCCCACCCCCACCCCCACCCGCACCCCGGACCTGCTCGCCTCCGAGTCTTCACACCTGCGGCCAATGACATTCAAATTAAAGTCAAATAGGGGCGCCTGGGGGGCCTCAGTTGGTTGAGCGTCCGACTTCGGCTCGGGTCATGATCTCACGGTTCGTGGGTTCGAGCCCTGCGTCGGGCTCTGTGCTCGGAGCCTGGAGCCTGTTTCGGATTCTGTGTCTCCCTCTCTCTCTGACCCTCCCCTGCTCACGCTGCCTCTCTCTCTCTCTCTCTCTCTCAGAAATAAATTTTAAAAAGTCAAACGGACGTCGCACCGGCCGCAGGCGGGCCCGCGGGGCAGCGCGCAGCCCGCACGGATTCGCCCGCCTCCCAGGTTGGCGGGAAGCCGGGCGCCGGGATGAACAACGCGGCCCCGCGCTTTTTAGAGTCTCCTCGGTTTTGGCTTTGCGGGGTTTTTCTTCGTGACGAACTATCGGTCATTCTCGGCAGGAAACCTGCACAGGGTTGCCACGATCTTCTCGCACGTGACGCCGTCTCGAGTCGCCTCCCCTAGCCGCCAACTCCACAGTGACCTCTCCCTCGGCCAGGCATCACGGAACTTGCCACCACCAAGATGGCCGCGGCACGCAGCCTCTGCCCCGACGGGGTGTGGCCTGGCAGCGGCCAGCCAATGGGGAGGCCGGGAAGCCGCCGGCCAATGGGGAGGCCGCTGGGGCCGTAGCCAATGGGGAGGCCGCGCGGGCTGGACGCCGGAGGCCGCCGAGGGAAGGGCAGCTTCCCGCCATGGCCGCGTCGCAGGTGGAGCCCTCCGCCTCGAGCTCGGGGCTGGGGCGCCGCAGGAGGACGTGGGCCGAGCTGCTGGGTGAGAGCGCACCCGGGCTGCGGGCGTGCGCGGCGTCCTCGCCTGAGACCCCTCACCTCCCCAGCCTCCGTCAGCCCGCTCCCCGGCCTCTTGTTGACCCCAAGACTTCCCGCCTTCTCTCCGCTCCCCGGAACCTCAGCCCTCGTCACCGACCCCCGGCTCTCGTCGCCCCCGGTGCTCAGCCCTGTGCCCCCTGTCTTGTCCCCCCGACCCCTGGGCCTGGTCTCGCTCGACTTCCCGTCTCTTTTGCCCCCTCCCATCCCTCCGCCCCCTGGCCCGGTTCCCCCTGCGGTCGCGGGGCAGGGGCCTGCCTCCTCCCGGCCCTTCCAGGGCGATGTCAAGACAGATGTTCTGCGAGGCGGGCGGCTAACGCCCTGCGTCCCGGAGAGCGGGGTGGCGGTGAGGGGCTCCCCCTAGCCTGGCTCCGGGACCGCAACCTGACTGTCAGGCAGCAGCCCCAGGACTTGGGCTCATCAGGTTTTCCACATGCCCGTTTTTTGCTCCACGAGCCCACATAGGATTGTCTAGGTTTCCTCACATCGGTGGCCGTTCCTGAGTCTTTGCTAACCTGGGCACTTGGAGAAGTACTGGTCCCTCATTTTATACAGTGTCCCTCAGTTGGTGCGTCCGGTGTTTGCTCGTGATTAGATTTACACTTTTCATGAGAATACCATGGAGGTAGTGTGTCCCCGAGGTGCGCCAGTTCAGGAGGTGTAGAATGTCACCACGTTTCCTTCCATGTGTTTTTAAGGCGTGCTTTAATTTTGTGGAACTGATTTTCCCCCTTAGCGGGAAGGGTCAAGAGGCAGACGTATGGCCCTGGAACAGAACAGAAGTTACAGGAATCCGCTGTGCACCTCCTGAGACGCCATCTAAACTTGAATGACCTTTTGCTCGAGGTAAGGGAGAATTGTTTCAGCCTTCGCGGGCAGATTTAAGTTTGGGTGGGTTTTTTTTTTTTTTTTTTAATGTTTTATTTATTTCTGAGAGACAGAGAGAGACCGTGTGAGTAGGGGAGGGCCAGAGAGAGAGGGAGACACAGAATCCCAAGCAGGCTCCAGGCTCTGAGCTGTCACCACAGAGCCCGATGCGGGGCTCGAAACTGTGAACTGTGAGTTCATGACCTGAGCCGAAGTTGGATGCTTAATTGACTGAGGCACCCAGGCACCCCAGTTTGGGTGTTTTGCACCTAGCCAAGGCATAATAATCTTAGAGACCCCAAAAAAGCCTTATGAATGTCTGGTAGAAGCACCCAGTAAATGCTGACTTGATGAGAAAAAGTTTGTGAGCATTTATCTTTCTGGAGATAAAATTTAAGGTCAGAGTGAATTTAGTTTTTCTCACAAAAGTTTGGTAAGATTCCCTTTTGAAAAATGTTTACCTTGAAATATTTAAGAATAGTACAGTAGGCAAGCATTATATACACAAATTGTTCTTATGCACACACAGGTGGAACTTTAAAAATAGAGTTTTTGTATTTGGTTTCTAGGTAGCAGGTGTACCATGTAAGACGCTGTGTCTCAATCAATTGATTGATCCCGAGGCCTGTACTAATCTTTCTAGTTCGTTCATAGGTAAGTTAGAATTTAATTTTCTTAAATATGGAGTTATGAAAGAGCTTTATATAAAGTGTCCTTGATTTGCTTCTAATAAATACAAATTTAAATGTCTCTGATCATGATTGGCCACTTAACACGTGTAGTTGTGGATTGCAAGTCACGTTTTGTTCCTTGGTTGGGGCATGTGATGAGGCTGTTATTTAAAACCGGTGTTTTGGGGTGCTTGCGTGGTTCAGTTGGTTAAGTGTCTGACCCTTGATTTCAGCTCAGGTTGTGACTTAAGCACCATGTCGGTCTCTGTGCTGACAGTGCGGAGCCTACTTGGGACTCTTTCCCTCTGTCTCTGCCCCTCCCCTGCTGTGCTCTCTCAAAAGGAAATAAATAAACATTAAAAGAAAAAACAATGTTTCACTCCACATAGGGCTCAGAAGCAGTAGGAACCCAAGTGTCCTTGGAAAAACATGGGACAGTAATGTGGGTCTCCTTTATAGAAGTGGCGAAAACAGGTTGTGCTGGGTTGGAGAGGACAGGCAGGAAACCAAAAGAATATTTCTAGGTTTGAGAATATTTCAGGGTATTCTAATTTGGGAACATGAGATTCAGGGAAGTTCTGTGGGAATACCAAAAAGTTCAGTTATTTTCTGGTTATTAACATTTTATTATTAAATGACTTCAGAAAAATATTAATTCAGGGGCGCCTGGGTGGCTTAGTCGGTTAAGCGTCTGACTTTCACTTGGGTCATGATCTCGAGGTTCGTGGGTTCGAGCCCCGCGTCGGGCTCTGTGCTGACTGCCAGCTCGGAGCCTGGAGCCTGTTTCAGTCTGTGACTCCCTCTCTCTCTGACCCTCCCCTGCTCACGCTGTCTCTCTCTCTCTCTCTCCTAGAAATAAAAAAAAAAAAAAAATTCATTAATTTGCTTAAAATATTTATTACTTATTTATTTACTTCAGATGGAGAGAGAATGAGAGAGAGAGACAGCGTGATCAGGGGAGGGTCAGAGAGAGAGGGAGACACAGAATCCGAAGCAGCTCCAGGCTCTGAGCTGTCAGCACAGAGCCCGACATGGGGCTCGAACCCATGAACTGTGTGATCATGACCTGAGCCGAAGTCAGATGCTTAACCGACTGAGCCACCCAGGCGTCCCTAAAGTATTTATTTTTTAAAAATAATCTTAAACAAATAGACTCACCTCGACAAGTGATTATCAAAGGGCATTGGTAAATGACACTGACTTTCACTGCCATAATTGGTTTGAATTTCATATACTGTGTGTCACTCTGGGAACCAGGCTCAGCACACACTTTCTTGTATGGATTTTGGACCACGGCCTAAGAATTTGTATAAAAAGCTCTTACCTTTGACTACAGAAATAAAAGACCCTTAATTCATGAATTTTTTTACTGTTTTTTTTTCTATTGAAGGTAGTGGTTATGATACTTGTTTCTATGATACTTAAGAAATGTCTGTTACATAAAAAAGGTTAAAGCCTTGTAAATAAAAGCAGACACTTTCCCATGGAGACAATTTGGAAAGGAATGGCTTTTCTTCCTTTTTATTTTTTAATGTTTATTTTTGAGAGAGAAGACAGCACACAGCCTGCTGTGGGGCTCCAACTCATGAACGACGAGGTCATGGGCAGGACCGAAGTCAGACACTTAAATGAGCCACCCAGGCACCCCTGTTTTTTTTTTTAACTTATGTTAGCATATATAGCAGCGTTATATCTGTTTCAGGTGTACAGTATAATTCAACAATTCTGTACATTAAAAAAAATTTCATTTATGTTAGAGAGACAGAGAGCACGAGTGGGGAAGGGGCTGAGAGAGAGGGAGACACAGAATCCAAAGCAGGCTCCAGGCTCCGAGCTGTCAGCACAGAGCCTGATGTGGCGCTCAAACTCACAAACAGTGTTGTTATGACCTGAGCGAAGTTGATGCTTAACTGACTGAGCCACCCAGGTGCAACCCCCCCCTTTTTTTTTTTTTTTTGCAATGTCCAGCATTATATTCTTTAGCTCCATCCATGTTGTAACCAATGGCAAGATGTCATCTTTTTTTTGTAGCTGAGTGATATTCCATTGTATATATATACCGTATCTTTAGCCATTCATCTATTGATGGACACTTGCTTCTATATTTTGACTATTTTAAGTAATGCTGCAATAAACATTGGGGTGCATGTATCTTTTAGAATTAGTTTTTTTGTAGTATAATTATTGGATCTTAGGGTAGTTCTATTTTCAACTTTAAAAAAATTTTTTAATGTTTTATTTCTGAGAGAGAGAGAGAGAGAGAGAGAGAGAGACTGACAGCCAGCCAGCCAACCAGGCAGCGTGAGCAGGGGAGGGGCAGTGAGAGAGGGAGACACAGAATCCGAAACAGGCTCCAAGCTCTGAGCTGTCAGCACAGAGCCCGACGCGGGGCTCAAACCCACGAACTGTGAGATCATGACCTGAGCTGAAGTCAGACGCTTAACCGACTGAGCCACCCAGGCGCCCCTCTATTTTTAACTTTTTGAGGAACGTCCATTCTTTTCCAGAGTGGCCGCACCTGTTTGTATTTCTACTACCAGTGCAGGAGGCTTCCTTTTTCTCCACATCCTCGCCAGCAGTTGTTTCTTGTGTTGTTAATTTTAGCCACTCTGACAGGTGCAAGTTGTGCTTATGATTCGTATGTCCCTGAGGATGAGTGATGTTGAACATCTTTTCATGTGTCTGTTGCCCATCTGGATGTCTTCTTTGGAAAAATGTCTATTGAGGTCCTCTGTCCATTTTTTAACGTGATTTTTTTTGTGTGTTGAGTTGTACAAGTTCTTCATATATTTTGGATATTAACCCCTAACCAGATAATATCATTTGCAAATGTCTTCTCCCATTTAGTAAATGACCTTTTTGTTTAGTTGATGGTTTCCTCTGTGTAAAAATGGCTAGAAATTAGCATTTTCTTCCCTTCCACTATGAATTACTTCCTGACCTCTATAGTTGATCATTTCTTTCTGTTTTTAATGTTTTTATTTTTATTTATTTTTATTTTTTTTTATTTCTAGGAGAGAGAGAGAGACACAATGTGAGCAGGGGAGGGTCAGAGAGAGAGGGAGTCACAGACTGAAACAGGCTCCAGGCTCTGAGCTGGCAGTCAGCACAGAGCCCGACGTGGGGCTCGAACCCACGAACCGCGAGATCATGACCTAAGCGAAAGTCGGACGCTTAACCGACTAAGCCACCCAGGCGCCCCTTTAATGTTTTTATTTTGAGCAAGAGATGCAGAGTGGGAGCAGGGGAGGGGCAGAGAAAGAGGGAGACACAGAATCTGAAGCAGCTCCAGGCTCCGAGCTATCAGTACAGAGCCTGATGCGGGGCTCAAACTCCTGAATGGTGAGCTCATGACCTGAGCCGAGGTTGGCTGCTCAACTGACTGAGCCACTCAGGCGCCCCTATAGTTGATGATTTCTAATATCATCATTTGCAATCTTAATAACTATTGAAAAAAAATTTTTTTAACGTTAATTTATTTCTGAGAGAGACAGAGACAGAGAGCAGGCAGGGGAGGGGCAGAGAGAGGGAGACACAGAATCTGAAGCAGGCTCCAGGCTCTGAGCTGTGAGCACAGAGCCCGATGTGGGACTCGAAGTCACAAACTGCGAGATCAGGACCTGAGCCAAAGTCAGCTGGTTAACCGACTGAGCCACCCAGGCGCCCCTCTTTATAACTATTATTAATTGTTTTCGTTTACATACAGGTATGTGTTTTCAGAGCCCTGAAGATAATGGGCATGTGCTACAGTTTCCTTTTTAAAAAAAAATACAGAAACCCCCCTAGTTTTAGAAGTCAGATAAATGAGATGGCGGTTTGCTTGTAGGCATCACCTGTATTCAGGCTGGCTGAAGTTCTCACTGTTGAATACAGACAAGAGGCTGGATACTCAGGAGGCTGGTGGCTGTCTGTGGCCTCTGCCACCCACCAATGTGTGGCACAGCATTTGGAAATGACCCGCTTTCCACTCAAACATCAGTATCAAGTCAGTGGAAGCGGGTCTATTTTTGACACTGAAGTAATTAGTTACAAAGATAGGAACTCATTGCAAGAGTCACCGCAGTTGCCAGTTTATTGTGCTCCTTTGGAAAACTTTGATAAAATTCTAAGACTATATGTGGCAAGCCCCCTTGTTTATGTTACACAGAGCCCTCGGCGTGTGCAGCCGAGGGCTTCGAATGCTGCCCGTTGTTACCCTATGCGTCGCTTCAGTCCTGAGATGGTCTTAATTCCGTGCCTTGTTTTTCCCTCTAGATCTGTGCTCCCTTTCAGAAAAGTGTTTTCTGAGAGTCTGCAGCCTAAGAGGCTTTTTAAACCCCGGGTCTTCTGTTTTAGATTTTGTAGCGCATCTCTCGTGTTTTGTTCTGTCTTTAAGGCTCGGCTCTGCGGGATGAAGCCTCGAGGCTGGGCGTCCCTGTGGCAGTGCTGTCCAGCCGGATGGTAGCCTCCAGCGTCGCGCAGATCTGTGTGTCTGGTGGCGAGCCCTCGCACGGAGTGCTGCTGAACACGGAGCAAAGGGTGAGATGCAGCGCGATGAGCAAACTGCATACTTGTTGCTCTGAAGCTGTTGCGGAAAATAGCATTTCTTTAATATTGTGTCAAATATTTGCTTATTATTACTGTTTTTAAAGATTTAATCTCTTTTCAGAAGAAACTGTCTTCCTTGTTGGAGGTGGCTCAGTATTTATTAGCACACAGTATGTTTTCCCGTCTCTCCTTCTGTCAGGAGCTGTGGGAAGTACAGGTAAGTTGGCTGTGACAGCTCTAGGGGTTTTGCTAGGAGTCAGTTGGTTTCGGGGAAGCCACGAGAGTCCCTGGCTGTTCCCAGGGGTCCCACCCAGCATCTCGTAATCACGGGTGGGGGGTGGTAAATGCATTCACCAAAGGCCTCTGTGGGTGGAAAGAAGTGCCTTCAGTTACTTACTTGTTAGTATTCACCGAACATTAGTAATGTTTACTAGAATGTGCCACAGACACATGATGTTCTCTCTTCTCATGTATAATTATGAACAATTTTGCAGGGCAGTAGAGTGAACTAGAAAAATGTAATTTAATAATTATTCTTTATTTCCTCCCAAAGTTTATTTTGAGAGAGAGAGAAGAGAGCAAGCAGGGGAGGGGCAGAGAGAGAGGGAAATTGAAAATCAAGCAAGCTCCATGCTGGCAGTGCAGAGCCCGATGTGGGACTTGAACCCACGAAACATGAGGTCATGAACTGCACTAAAACCAAGAGTTAGTTGCTTACCAGTTGAGTGACCCAGGAGCCCATAAAAAGTATTCATTTAAAAAAAATTTTTTTGATGTTTTTATTTATTTATTTATTTATTATTTTTTTTTTTTACAAGAGAACAAATCTACACCTTTATTTATTTACTTTTCAGTTAGTTTAAATCCTTGAGGGGTACAGCATCACACGGATTCTGTGGCCAATGGCTTTAGCAGGAAGGTTGCTTCGGAATTTTGCACGAACCATGCCACTGTTTCCATGAGCACGAGTTACTTTTCCCCAGATTACTCTGGTTTTATTCGGTTTGCCACCAGGAGTCACTGTGTTGTTCTTTGCTTTGTATACATAAGCACATCTCTTGCCTAGATAGAACTCAGTTTCATCTCGGGCATAAACACCTTCAATTTTAAGAAGAGCTGTGTGCTCCCTCTGGTTCCTGAGACCCCGTTTATAGCCAGCAAAAATGGCTTTGGACCACAACCTTCCAGACATATTTGTCGTTTCAGGAGTCCTGTTCCCAGCAGGCCTCCACGGGTTCAAAGATGGCGGAAAGATGTTTTTATTTATTTTTGAGAGAGAGACAGCATGAGCAAGGGGATGGGGGTCAGAGAGAGAGAGAGACTCAGAATCTGAAACAGGCTCCAGGCTCTGAGCTGTCAGCACAGAGCCCGACGTGGGGCTTGAACCCACGAACCATGAGATCATGACTTGAGCTGAAGCCAGACGCTCAATCGACCGAGCCACCCAGGCGCCCCATAAAAAGTATTCTTAAAAAAAAAAAAAAAAGATTCTTATCTGTTATTTTGTTTGAAACCCAGGTAATGGTGCCCCCGTGATTTCCCCCCACCTTCTCATCCAGCATTCATTGTAGAGTTCATCTGATTTGTCAGCAATTGGTATAGTCCCTGTGCTCACTGATAACTAGTTACAGTGAGGGCAGCTGAACGCACACTAACTGTGACGGTACAGGTGTCCACAGGTGAGCAGGGAAGAGTGGACAGCTACATGATTGGGTAGTAGGGAAAGGCTTTCTTTCTTTTTTTTTTTCCATGTTTGTTTATTTTGAGAGAGTACATGCATGTGCCACTGGGGCAGGGGTGGAGAGAGAGAGATGGATAGAGAGAGAATCCCAAGCAGGTGCCTCACTGTTGGAGTGGAGCCTCATGTGGGTCTCAAACCCACAAACTTGAGCTGAGATCAAGAGTCAGATGCTTAACCAACTGAGCCACCCAGGTGCCCCTAGGAAAAGCTTGCTTGCTTGCTTTTTTTTTTAATGTTTATTTTTGAGAGAGAGAGTGGGACAGAGGATCTGAAGTGGGCTCTGTGCTGACAGTGGAGAGTCCAAGGCGGGGCTTGAATTCATGTGAGGTCATGACCCGAGCTGAGGTCAGATGCTCATCCGGTCACCCGGACAGCCCTTGGAAAGGCTTTCCAAGAGAGCTGGCAGCTGCCTGGGTGTGAAGGGAGGGTGCCATTTTCCTGGGTGAAGACGAGGACAGAGCAGGCGGTGGGAGACCTGAGTAAGGTGTCCAGGGGGTGAGGGCAGGGGTGTCTGCCACAGAAGGGAGCACTTCTCTGGGATGGGAGAGAACGAGAGACCCGCTGGGGCACAAGTGGTCTGTGCCGCATCCGGGAGTCTCAGTCTTGTTCTGAAAGCTGTGAAGGGGCCACAGAGACTCGTAAGGAGCAGAGACTGACAAGTCCTGGCAGAAAGGCACAGACGCAGCTAAAGTAGACAACTGGGCGTGGGGGGCGCGGCTGGGGAGGAGGAGGAGAAGGGTGGTAATGGTGAGTGCCTGAAGGCTTGGTGAGTTTATTTCTGTTTTTATTTTTCTTAATGTTTATTTTGAGAGAGCGCTACACGAGTGGGGGAGGGGTGGAGAGAGGGATCCCAGGCAGTGCAGAGTCTGATTTCATTCACCTTGAGGTCATGACCTGCACCAAAGTTAAGAGTCAGACGCTTAACCAACTGAGCCCCACCCCACCCCTTGGTGAGTTTTAAAGCCAAAGTGGATCAAGTGTGTATTTTAGGCTGTCCTCATTACCCCACTCTAGTCTTCATAGAGCATAGTGGTTAAGTATGAACCTGTACATCATAGGGAAGTGTGTGCGTGATGGACTCACAGTACATGTATTTTCTTCAGGATTCTTCGTTGCTTGAAATCATGTGGCATCTTCACGTAAAAAACGTTGTGAGCCTCCAAGAGCTGCTGGAAAGGTAGGTAGTGTATCAGTGAAAATGTAGCATTACCTTCATATGGCAGGATTTAATTTTTGTAATCTAATCCACTAATAAATGATTTATTTATGTTAAAGCCAAAAATCACTGAGAGAAACTCTTCTTATTTAAAGAGAACATTTGTGGGGCACCTGGGTGGCTCAGTTGGTTAAGTGTCCGACTTGAGGTCAGGTCATGATCTCGCGGTCCATGGGTTCGAGCCCTGCGTCGGGCTCTGTGCTGACAGCCAGCTCAGAGCCTGGAGCCTGATTCAGATTCTGTGTCTCCCTCTCTCTCTGACCCTCCCCTGCTCATGCTGTCTCTATCTCTCTCTCAAAAATAAATAAAATTAAAAAAAAAAATAAGAGAACATTTGTTAGAGTTGAGGTTGTCATGCACAGAGTTGGTCATGTTTTCTTTTTTTCTCTTCATTTTTTTATGTTTATTTATTTTTGGGAGGGTGCAAGAAGGGGAGGGCCAGAGAGAGGGGAGCAGAGGATCAGAAGTGGGCTCTGCGCTAAACAGGCTGACAGCAAAGAGCCTGATGTGGGGCTTGAACTCCTGAACCGCGAGATCACGACATGAGCCAAAGTCTGATGCTCAACCGACTGAGCCATTTTTAAGTAAACTCTGCACCGAAGTGGGGCTTAAACTCATACCTCTCAGATCAAGAGTCATACGTTCTGCCGTCTCAACCAGCCAGGTGCCCTTTGGATAAAATATTGTTAAAAATTAAAAGAGTGCTGCCTGAGTGGCTCAGTCGGTTAAACTTCCAACTTTTAGTTTTGGTTCAGATCATGATCTCATGGTTCCTGGGGTTGAGCCCTGCATCGGGCCCCATGTTGGCAGCACAGAACCTGCTTGTGATCCTCTTTATCCCTCTCTCTCTGCCCCCCCTCCCCTCAAGCTCTCTCTATCTCTCTCACAAAATAAATAAATAAACATTAAAAAAAAACCTATTTGCAAAGGATACCATCTTGCATATAGAAAGCTAAAGAATCTGTAAAGTATTGGAGCGAATGAGCAAGGCTACAGGAAACAGCATCAACATACAAAAGTAATTTGTGTGTTTATATAATAACAGTGAACAATCTGAAAACAAAGTTCGGAATGATCCTATTGAAAGTTGAAATGAATAAATTAGGTATAAAGTAAAAGTGCAAGACTTGTGTACTAGAAACTCTAAAGCATAATTGAGGGAAACGAAGACCTCACTAAGTAGACAGTTCACGCACACGGATTGGAACACTTCACACTGTTAGGATGGAAGCCCTCCTCCCGCACTGACCTGGACGTTCAATAGAATCTGCATCAAAGTCTAGCCTGGCTTTTTTGCATCCATTGACAAGCTGATTCGGATTTCGATATGGAGATACAAGGGACCCTGAACAGCCACATTTCTTCAGGAAGAACAACAACATTGGGGGGGGGGGTCTCAGGTCCCATTGGCAGAACTTACTACAAAGTTAGGCTGTGACGCAGGCATAGGGTAGACCTAGAGCCACGGAATAGGACTTCCAGTCCAGACATAATCCCATACATATGTGTCAGATGATTTTTGATAAGGCTGCCGAGACCCCTAGACAGGGAAAAAGTTGTCCATTCAACCAGTGGTGTTGGGGCAAGTGGACATTTACAGGCGGAAGAATCCAGTCGGAGACCTGCTTCCTACAACATACGGCAGTTAAGTCAGTGCACCGAAGAGCTAAATGGAAGCACTAAAGCCATTAACACTTCTTAAGAAAATCTAGGGTTGTGTCTGCATGAGCTTGGATTAGGGAATGGTTTCCTGGAAAGGATGCCTAAAATTCATGCCACAAAAGAAAATATAGAAGGAAAATTATGCTTCATTGAGTTTTAAAATTTTTGTGTGCAATACTCAAGACCGTTAAGGCCATGAAAAGACAACACTTAGAATGGGAGAAATGATTTGCAAATCATGTGTCTGATTATCTAGTATCTAGTGTAAAGAACTTTTACATCTCAACAATAAAAAGACAATCCAATTAAAAATGGACCAAGGGTTTCAATGGACATTTGTCACGTGAAAAGATGCCAGACATCGTTAGTCACCAGAGAAATGTAAGTCTGACTGGTGAGGACGCCCCCCCACCCCCTGCCCACTGCTCCTCTTCTGGGTCCCGGCTCCAGATGTGGTTCTGCATGGCTCATGTCCTCGATGACCATCTGTAGCTTCAAATTGCTGCCGTTTTATTTTGTTTCTGATTATCTTACTCTTAATGAGCTTGCTTTAGTAAGAGTAGTAAGCTACTCCAGATAAACTTTTTTTTTTTAATTTATTTTTTTTATTTATTTCTAGGAGAGAGAGAGAGACAGCGTGAGCAGGGGAGGGTCAGAGAGAGAGGGAGTCACAGACTGAAACAGGCTCCAGGCTCTGAGCTGGCAGTCAGCACAGAGCCTGATGCGGGGCCCGAACCCACGAACCGCAAGATCATGACCTAAGTGAAAGTCGGACGCTTAACCGACTAAGCCACCCAGGCGCCCCAAGATAAACTTAAAAAAATTTTTATTTAAAAAAGTGTTTTTTTTACATTTATTTTTGAGAGACAAAGTGAGACAGCACGAGCAGGGGAGGGGCAGAGAGAAAGGGAAACAGAATCCAAAACAGGCTCCAGGCTCAGACGCGAGGCTCGAACCCACAAACCATGAGATGGTGAACTGATCCAAAGTCAGAAGCTCAACTGACTGAGCCACCCAGGAGCCCCAATAAACTTTTTTTTTAAAGCTTATTAAAACTTATTTATTTTATTTAAAAAAATTTTTTTAATGTTTTATTTATTTCTGAGAGAGAGAGAGCGTGAGCAGGGGAGGGTCAGAGAGAGGGGGAGACACAGAATCTGAAGCAGCTCCAGGCTCTGAGCTGTCAGCACAGAGCCCGACGTGGGGCTCGAACCCACGAACTGTGAGATCATGACCTGAGCTGAAGTCAGACGCTTAACCGACTGAGCCACCCAAGCGCCCCCCTAAAAGTTTTTTTTAATGTTTAGTTTTGAGAGAAACAGAGGGAGCTTGCATGTGGGGGAGGGGCAGAGGGAGAGAGACCCAGAATCCAAAGCAGGCTCCAGGCTCTGAAATGTCAGCACAGAGCCCAAATTGCGGCTTCAAACCCTTGAACCAGTAAGATCATGATCTGAGCCTAAGTCAGACACGTACTGAGCCACCCAGGTGCCCACAAAATGACTATTTTTTTTTTAAATATTTTTATTTCTAGGAGAAAGAGAGAGAGACAGTGAGCAGGGGAGGGTCAGAGAGAGAGGGAGTCACAGACTCTGAAACAGGCTCCAGGCTCTGAGCTGGCAGTCAGCACAGAGCCCGACGCGGGGCTCGAACCCACGAACCGCGAGATAATGACCTAGGTGAAAGTCGGACGCTTAACCGACTAAGCCACCCAGGCGCCCCTAAAAATGACTATTTTTAACGTCAGTAGCAGCTGCCCTGATTCCCCGTGTATGTCAGCTCGGCCTGTGGGGACATCTGGGCACAGCTCACATGGTTGCCGCTCGTTCTCTGTGCCCAAGCTTCTGAGTGAAGTGACTGGGGAAGGGAATGGCGTGGTCGATACGGAGGGATGGGGGGTGCATGGTGAGCCGTGTGCTTTGTCCCTAGTCGTGCTGACACGCAGGCCACGGTGGCGTGGCTGTTCAGGAACCTGTGCCTTCTGTGTGAGCAGACGGAAGAGTCTCCGTGCAGCGACGTCGCCAGGGCTGTGCTTTCTGGTGAGTTCACGACAGGCAGGTTCATGGGTAAAGTTTAGGTCGGCAGAAATGCCTCTTGTGGCGACGGTCTGTGGGAAACAGGACGGCCCCGCGCCCCTGGCATGGGATCCAGAAGCAACAGTCCCTTCGACAAGTGGTATCGGAACAAGTGGACATACACGTGCCAGACCGTGAGGTTGGAGCCCTGCTTCACACGACGTATCTCAGTTAAGTCACAGTGCAGCAAAGACCTAGAAGAGTTTCTGGGGTTACGACTACGTGACCCCGTCTCCACCCAGACCTCCCGCCTGGGTTTGCTCGTATTTGGATTTCGTGGAAGTTTGAGTAAGTCGGGCTGTAGACCCACTGTGTCTGGGGGCCTGTGGCTGATGTGTTTAAAGTACGCACATTGCGATCTGCTGGACGAGGAGCTACAAGCCAGCCACCCGGGGTCGGCAAGGAGCTCCCTGAGCCCCCGAGCTCCCATTCCAGAGAAAGGAACACCTTCAGGGCCATGTCCATTGGAGGTGTAACTTCAGTGCACTCACAGAAAGGAAGTAAAGTCACGGAGTTTGTTACTTTCACATCCCAGAGAAGGAGAGCTGCATAGCTAGGGAAGGTCACAGCGAGCAGGAGATAGGGAACAGGTGCCAGCTACTTGTACGGTGGTTGGGCCCAAGGTCACTAACGTTTTACAGGCTCAACTCTAAGTGGTTATTATTTTTTTAATGTTTATTTTTGAGAGAGAGCCCAGGTGGAGGAGGGGCAGAGAGAGAGAGAGAGAGAGACAGAATCCTAAGGAGGCGCTGCAGCATCACGACAGAGCCCGATGTGGGGTTTGAACTCAGGAACTGTGAGACCATGACCTGAGTGGAAATCAAGAGTAGGATGCTTAATGGACTGAGTCACCCAGATGCCCCGTTAAATGGTTATTTATTTTTTTAATGTTTGTTTATTTTTGAGAGAGAAAACAGGATCAGGGGAGTTCAGAGGATCTGAAGTGGGCTCCATGCTGACAGTTGCAAACATTATGCAGGGCTTGAACTCAAGAACCATGAGATCATAACCTGAGCCAAAGTCAGATGCTCAACCAGCTGGGCCATGCAGGCGCCCCTCTAAATGGTTATTTTAAGTTAAAAAAAGTTTTTAAATGTTGATTTTAGATAGAGGACAGAGCGTGAATGGGGATGGGCAGAGAGAGAGGGAGACACACAATCCAAAGCAGGCTCTAGCCTCTGAGCTGTCAGCACAGAGCCCAGCGCGGGGCTTGAACTCACAAACTGCGAGATCATGATCTGAGCCCAAGTCAGATGCTTAACTGACTGAGCCACCCAGGTGCCTCCTAAGTGGTTATTTTAAAAGAAACCCTGGAAAAGCAAAGCAGGAAGTGTGGCAGGCATGCTAAGCTCACGGCCTGATCTAGTCCTCATCAGACCCTGGGCGAGAGCAGGGGCGCCATGCCGTCGGTTGCCTGTGCACTAGCTCGGAGTGGTTTTCTTGTCACACTTGTCTTTTTCTGGGAGCCTTTCCCTTGCAGTGGGCCCTGTCCTAGGCTGCTCTCTGAGCCAGCAGAGGCTTGCCATCACCAGTAATAGAGGAATGAAATCTACAGATAAACAAAATATTAGATGAGAAGTAGAACGTTCCATACAGGTAGCTTGTGAATTTTTTTACATTATGAAAGATACCTTCTTTTTTTCTAAAGTTTTCTTGACGATCGGTGTGTGCTCCTTATGATTCCTGAAGCCTGTAGTCTGGCTCAGATAGTTGAAATTTATTTATTTATTTTAAATATTTTTATTTATTTCTAGGAGAGAGAGAGACAGCGGGAGCAGGGAAGGGTCAGAGAGAGAGGGAGACACAGACTGAAACAGGCTCCAGGCTCTGAGCTGGCAGTCAGCACAGAGCCTGACGCGGGGCTCGAACCCACAAACTGCAAGATCATGACCTAAGCGAAAGTCGGACGCTCAACCAACTAAGCCACCCAGGCACCCCTCAGATAGTTGAAATTTAAATTAAAGATCAGACAGAAAATATTTTTTACTGTAGTCTTCTAATTTTTTCAGAAATTCTGAGTGCATTTCCTGCCTCATTCCCCAGAATATAGTGCTTCTGAGTCTTCCTAGAACAGTCCTTATATTTTGGGGTAGGAGATTGGCTGAAGAGATAATCCACATGAAACCCTTAGATGCTACTTTTTTTTTTTTTTTTTTGTATTTTTAAGTAATCCCTATACCCAATGTGGGGCTCAGACTCAACAATCCCGAGATCAAGAGGCTCACGCTCTACTGACTGAGCCAGCCAGATGTCCTAGATGCTGCTTTTTTGTTGAGGAGAAAAATCCTTCCCATAAACTTGATGGATGAGAAAAATTTCCCTTTCAAATAGAGTGGCAGGAAGCACAGTGTGGTTCAGGAAGGGTTTTGTTGGTTGGGCTGGTGAGTGTTGGGGGGGGGGTGTAAAGCAGGGTGAAGCGACGGCCCCTTGTGGGTCCTCAGCCTCCAGGCCCTGGAGAGCGGGTGCTCTGTATCCTCCACAGCTGTTTGAAGATGACAGTGCATTTACATTTTTGGGTTTTCAGATTTTGTCCAAATGTTTGTTTTGAGAGGATTTCAGAACAACCCAGATCTCAGAAGAAATGCGGAGCCTGAGCAGATGGGCAAGGTAGGAGGAAAAGTGATGTGAAGAGTCGAGAATCGGCTCGTTACGGTAATGGCCCAGAATCTAGGCCTGTGCTTTCAGACAAAAGGGAAGGGAGAGCTTTTTACCAGCAGAACTCTGTGCCGACCCTGTGAGCCAGGGGCTGTGGGAGGCCATGCCCAGAGAGGTCCCAGGGACAGGGATCCCGATGGACACTTCCAGAAAGTCTGCCCTTTCACTCTGTCAGTGTCTCCCCAGTGTTGGGATGCTGTCTGGAGGGGCTTTCTTAGTTTACTGTGGAGCCACCAGTTTTCTCGTGTGACACGTATGTGTGAGTAACGGTGACCCTGTCTTGTGCTTTGACAGCTCGCCGTTGCTGTGCTTCAGAGGATGCTGATCTGTGAGTCTCCTGCTCCCGGACTGTCCAGGAGTTGCTTGTTAGGGATTCTCAAGGGGTCCTGCCTTTCCATGTCAAGTGCTTCACCTGAACTGACCCTCTACTGTTTCTCTTGGCTTTGCACTTAATTTCCAGAGCTGGAAATGGCAACCAGTGTAAGGGTTAATTAGGCAAGCATTTTATTGTTGACATATCTTGATTGATTTAAAAGGCTTAAGTCTTTGGTACCATTGGGATGCTTGGGGAAGACTTGTACGTACCATCCAGAGACTTAGGAGGCCTTGGTGGTCTGTTATTTGGAAATGGAGGGGCTTTCCCCAAAGATCCATTACCTGACACGTCCGGTAATACGCCGTTCAGGATCGTTTTCGATGGATTGTGGTGGTGAGCTGATGTGTTTCCCATTTCCACCATCTGTCCTCAGTTGCTCTTGAGGCTCTGGCTGCTGGAGTGCAGGATGCGTCCTCACAGCACAAGGTGGTGAAGTGCTGGTAAGTCTGGGAGCAGGCCTTCTGGGCGTACTCAGGGGCGGTGCCTGGTGCCTTAAAGTTCCCTGGCATTTAAAACAGTCCCAAAGGATCAACAGCTGTTTCCTGAACATGTTCTCTGCCATCATGACAACGTCAGGTGAAGACGACTGCTGGAAAGCTGTAGAAACTCCAATCTGCCTGCTCCCCCTGGAGATTCCTCCTTTCCTTGGGAATCCTCTGTCCCCTCTGGGTCTGCGTTCCCGGTCTGAGCTGGATCCCTAAGGGTCATGACGTGTAGGACACTCCTGGAGCCACCTTCTCACTGAGTGGGCTCTCCCCTGGTCCCTCCCTGCCCCCTGGCCGCCGAGCCCTCGGTGCGCCCTGAAGCCGGCACTTTGTTCACCCATGGTTGAGATTTTGCCACGTTAGCCTTCTCGCTGCGCGGCTCTCTGGAGGTTCATGTTGAGGAGTGGTCGTTGGGGTGTCTGGGTTTGCTTCAAAGTAATGTCGGATGAGGCCGGCCTGGAAGTTGGTTCTTTCCTGGGAAACCAGGAGAGGTTTCCAGCAACCCTCTGTTCTCACGGTTTTGCTCCGATTGCCTGTTCTCCAGTTAGTTTAGTGGCCCTCTGCCACGCTGCACCACTCAGTACTTCACTTAGACTCTTTATACACCCAGCACTCCTTTGCTTTCTATATTTTATGTCTTTTTTTAGAAAAAAAATTTTATTTTTTTATTTTTTAAATGTTTTTTTTTTTTTAATTTTTTTTTTTTAATGTTTTATTTATTTCTAGGAGAGAGAGAGAGAGAGACAGCGTGAGCAGGGGAGGGTCAGAGAGAGAGGGAGTCACAGACTGAAACAGGCTCCAGGCTCTGAGCTGGCAGTCAGCACAGAGCCCGACGCGGGGCTCGA